AACTAAATTATCCCAATGACAGAATGATAATGTTTAATCTTTGAAAGGTGTGTATGAGCAAGGAATCCCACAGAGTGAATATGCTTGTAAGTTTAGGAACACCAGCCTTTTCCTTGTTTTCTGGAGGGCTCGCCTATCCATTTGACCTCGGACTGGTCATTACACTTCATAGAGGCTTAATTTACTCACCATAAAATAGGTATAATGACATCCTCTCAGCCTACCTTCCAAGTTTTGGGTATAAGAGTAAAGGATATAATTTAGATGAAAGTGAAACTCTGCCTAATGTTACCTGTGAAGATAGTGTTATCACAAATGAAGTGGTTTTTTGTTTGTTTGTTGTTCTGGTTACCTCTGTGCCACTCTGACAAGAATATACCACAAATGGGATGGTTTTAACAAACAGGTGTTTATTCTCTCACAATTTAGGAGGCTAGAAGTCCAGAGTTCAAAGTGCCAGGCTCTAGGGGCTGGGTGAAAGCCCCTGAACCTTGGGCTTCAGCTTTGCCTCCTGCTCCCGGCCCACTGAAGCTTTTCTTCAGACAGCTTCTAGCTGCTGAGGCTGACAAACCCAAGGTTGACAAGTAAAAAGGCACAGTCCCAATGTTACCCAACAACATGGCAGGCCACTAATTCAAGTCCATTGAAAGTCCCAAGATTGGCAGAACATGGTAGGCTACTGAAAAACCTCTTGGTTATATGCAGAATTCAAGCGTGCCATAGGCTACAGACCATTCCCAAAGCTGGTGCTTATATATGGGAAGCAGACCACATCCCTAAAGCAGCTACTCAGCTGCTTGTGGTAGATCCCACATGAAGTTGATTGTCAGTCTTATCATGGGGAATAACTACCACCAGCTGCCCAGCCACTCAACCAGGCCCAGCCAAGTTGACACACAACCTTAACTGACACATTTGTTTTGTTCTGTTTTTTAACATTTTAGTGTGATTTGGGTCAAATTTTACAAAAGTTTAGTTTTCTATTCAACATTTCATACACATTTGTTTCCTGACATTGATTGCAGTCCCCGTATTATGACAGCTCTCTTTCCACTTTCTCCCTGTGGTTACCCTTTCCCTGTGACCTTGCCTATGCATTCCTGTCTCCCTACTTTTCTCCCTGAGCAAACACTGCCCTTCTGATCTCCCATGGCTGATTGTTTTAAGGAGTGTAAACCCCTGGTATAGGTGTTTAGCTCATAGGCCTATCTGTTGTTTGGCTGAGAGTTAGCCACAGAAGTGAGTTCACTTCCAGTCCTGAAGGATGAGTAGGGGCTATAGTCTTGGG